GATTTTATACTGGTTCGGCCAATCCTGCCTACATCCAGTCCTCAAGTCTCCCACTTGAGATTTCCACTACTCTTGTAAACCTTACAAGACTTGAATCCTCCAACACCTCGGAACTCCCTTTCCTTGTGTTGAGATTCAAAAACTAACAAGGAGAAAAACCTTTTCTCCTTTACAGATCCAATGATCAATTGAGTTTTACAAAATGACTCTCTTTGAAGAGTAGATATTACACTTTTATGATCTTAAAGAACTCTTTAGAGATTTTGCAAATGACTTTGGCCAAGTGATTTTTGTAAATGATTTTCACAATAGAGTTCACCACCTTTCTCTGAAAAATTATAGGTATTTATAGACAATTGTTTCTTAGGTTATGTCTTTTCATAAAGAGTTGTAACTTTCTATAATTTTTCAGAAAATAGGCTCTGGTAATCTATTACAAGACTTGGTAATCGATTACAACAGTTTAAATTCAAAATGTTTGAAACGTATAATTTAAATTCAAAATTTGAAATTTTATTGAATTTGTAAAATTCTTCATCCAAACACACCATTAGACTCTGAATCAATATATCAACAAAAAGTTAAACAAATAAAAGTTTACATAAAATTACATTAACAAGTATTTCAACATTTGAAATTTTAAAAGTGAAGCTAAATACGGACTAAGTTTGATTTGAGTGCAGTGGCACGGAGGGAAAGGTAAAAACAAGAAATGATGGGGGGAAAAAAACATATATCGAATCCGGTTTCTTTCTCTTATATTTTATATTTTTTATACAGACTTATACTAAAAATAGGATAGAGCTAATCTAATAGAAATCTTCAAAAAGAGGCTGGTAATTGATCTTACATGAATCATGCTTTGTTCTGATTTAGAAATTGTGTTTCAAAAAAAAAATAGAGATCTTGCTAATCTGCATTAAACAAATATAAACTGAATCTAAACTTGTTACCAAAAGAAAAGGAAAAGGCTTATTATAATAAATATAAATGATATATTGTTAATGAAGATGAAAACGAAAAAATACGAAAAATAAAAATAAAAAAAATATACATTAAACTATATATCAAAAACTAAGCATCTGAAAGTTAATTAAATGGATTTATCAAATGCCTTTATTTTTATTAAAGAAACATATAAACCAATTTAATAAGCTATAAGCTTAAATGACTCGTTAAAAATACTTTCTGAAAAAATTAATGTAAGCTAAATACCTATTTTGGTCCCTTATAATCTTTTTTTGTTTCAATATAGTCTCTCATTAATTTTTTGTCTAAATTTGGTCCCAAAATAATTAATTAGTTTCAATTTAGTCCAAAATTAATTAATTGGTTTCATTGTGGGACTTCCGTCCAAATTATTTAAACGGAGTTAACTTTTGGCCACGTGGATGCATATGTGAATGACAACTTTGTTGAAAACACCTGGACCCAGAACGGCCCGTTCTGAAACCGGAACGGGCCGTTCTGGTTACACTTTTGGTGTGTTAATTTTGCATCCGGAACGGCCCGTTCCAGGTGCAACATTAACACACTAAAAGTTCAACCAGAACGGGTCGTTCTGGTTTCAGAACAGACCGTTCTGGTTCCAGACTGCTAAACATAAACGATCAATGATTATAGTTCACGATTGTTAATCGTGGAAGGAAAAAGACCCAAGGTACAAAGCATTTCAAACACTGAATTTGGTAATATTGTCAATGGAAATTGATAACTTCAATTGCTAAACAGTTAGGCTATACAGTGTATCATTAAGGACAATGTAGTGTATCACTAAAGATAATGGTAGCAGATTTTATTTCATTTCAAACTGGAGTGAACCATTTACTACCAAATTGACACTATGCAGTAAAGGATGAAATGATATGATATTTTTTCTTGAAGTCATTAACGATGTACCCCAACAACAACAACCTGTTCTTGAAGAGGTAGAACCTGAAGTAAAAAAAGAGGATACACATAACTAACATTTCACCACACAACCACATGCAGGGACAGATCTAAGTTAATCATAGTGGAGACACTAAAATTTTTTTCATTTTTTTTATATATATAATATTAACTTTATAAAATATATATTATTAATTATATTTTAATTATGTTGTTATATCTAATATAATAAATACTTTAATATTATTAAAAAAAATTATAATATACGTTAATTTAAATAAGCAAACAATTATATAGTTTTAAAACATTATATATATATATATATTAAAATTTTAAAATTATTAAATTTTTAATGAGAAAGACTAAAATTGCACAATTATGATATTTGAGATATTAAAATTGTTCAATTAAAAATTGTGAGACTAAAATTACACAACTAAAATCTTTTAAGGACTGAAATTACTCAATTAAAATTTTAGGGATCAAAATTGCATAATTATAATACTTGAGCGATCAAAAACACAATTAAGCAAAGAATATGCTATTCTCAGTTTTGGAACGGGCCGTTCTGTTTTCAGAACGGCCCGTTCTGCTGCACTAGTGGTGTATTAATTTTCGTATCTGAAATGGCTAATTTCAGTTGCAAAATTAACACACCAAAAGTACAACCAGAACGGTCAATTCTAGTTTCAGAACGGGCCGTTCTAGTTCCAGGTGTTTTCAAAAAATTGGGATCCACGTGGCATCCACCTATGCATCCACGTGGCATCCACCTATGCATCCACATGGCATCCACCTATGCAACGGTTAACTCCGTTAAAGAAATTTAGACGGAAGTCCCACATAGAAACCAATTAATTTATTTGAGACTAAATTGAAACCAATTAATTAGTTTAGGACCAAATTGAGACCAAAAATTAATGAGGAACTACATTGAAACAAAAAAGATTATAAGGGACCAAAATAGGTATTTAGTCATTAATCTAAAATTGACTCAATAATCACAAGTTACTGGCTCACAGAAGGCAGTATCACAATCACGAAAGGCACGTTGTGGCCATTTCAAGATGCATACGTATTCTTTAGGCAAATAATCTAGGCCTAGGAAACACAGCGTATTAACGCCAGCAAGCTACGAAACCTACTAGAATCATGTATTGCTGTTATCTTTAACGCAACGCATTGCTATTTTATCTTTCATGGTAATCAACACATTGAAAAATTACAATTTACAACCAACCATGTTGCTTTGCTTTCAACTTGAATTTGACAAAAAAACGATACATGCTATAAACCAACACACGCATTCACATTTGTAACTGTTGCACAAATAATCAATAAGCTAATCTACGATAATTTTTATGCATGGGATAGGTGGCAATGATGTTTATCCGCTCAACTCGTCTATTTAGTATTTGCGTAACCTGGGTAAAGCTGGGAAGGAACGAGAAAAAACACAAGAAAAATGGGCAACAGATTAATTTGTTAGCAGTAAAGTTTATCTGAATCATTCAGCCAAAGCATCCAGCAAAACCAGGATTAGCCATGTATTGATTTTGTCATTACGAATTATGATATTGACGGGAATTAAATACATATCTGATTTTCTAATGAAAGAGAAAGTTTTTCCGCGCCTTTTCTTTACATCAAAACATATTACAGCACATATCCAACTCTACCCAGTTTTATACTACTTTTCCTAGTAGCAGACCAGGAAAATAACGGTATCATTATATTGAACCTACAAAAATGGGAATAGTCATCGCTACCTATTAGTTTTTAATCAAAATTCCCTTTGAAGACCTAACATCACAAACTTCACCCTACACGTCCAACTTTATGTTTCTCTTGAATGAACCCCGCAAATGCAGTGTCAACCATCTCAGTCCTCGCCGTTCATCTTTGCCTCCGAACAGGTGATCTGGATCTTGACCTCCTTCCCCTGCATAAAAAGGAAACAGTAAATAAACAAAGAACCATTGAAAACTAAAAATGAAGCCTGACAAATTCACCTGTGCAGCTTAATCTTATATGATGTTGGAAGTGTCTGAAAAACATAAATCTTAATCTAGAAAACTTTATGGCAACAAACCTGGAAGAATCAAGAGAAGAATAGGGAGAATGCCTGCGCTGAGAACGCTTGCTATGAGGAGACCGCGAAAGTTGTCTAAAAATGAAACCACCGTACTGACTTGGTGAGTTCATATACAAAGTTTATATAAATACAACTCAACCTGGTATTAGTGTCAACACTCCATTGGAAGAAACCTATTACAATAAATCTTTTTTGTTTCTAATGAATATGATCAGACACGGTCAGATGTTTACCAGAAACAACAAATGTTCCAACATATTTTAGATTCAGGGTACAGATATACATACAATTATGGATAAACAAGTGCCACAGATTTGTGCACAAAACCAAAAGTTCCTAGCATATTCTATAATGTCTTATAATATATTGCAGACGGATAAATTGATAGAACACACAAGCTAGACAAAAGATGCATGAAAATGCACTTATTACCACATAACTTGAATAATATGAAAAACATTCCATATAACAGGCAATAAGATAATTTATTCAACTAAAGAAAGACCCAAATGATTGAATATGTGGAGCATGGTATCAGTTTCAGAATCCTAAAACTGCACAAAATCATATGCTCTATTTTATCACAGAAACAAGGTATAAAATAAGTAAACAATCATATGGTACACAAAATTAAAACATCAATAGTTCTATTTTCAAACTTGCAATTTTGGTAACATAATCTCGGAAGTTGCACTACGATGCAGCCATAATCTTATAAACAATGGAAGCTTTCCCAGAGGCGGTAAAATGATCGAACATGAAAATGTATCAGAGAAAATACCAACAACCTACACTTCACAAACATTTGATAACTATCATAATATAGCAAAAAATATTTGTTTTTGGTATACACAATACAATATGTACAAATTAAAATTTCTTATTACCCAAACAAGTAAATAAAAAATTTATAAAGGATGTTAGTTAGATTAGATGGCTAAAGTCCAAAAACAATGCAGAAGAAAATGTAGAACTTTCTGGCCCTTGAGATATCAAGCTATATAGAGTTCCAGTGACAAGATTGATGGAAGCAATTCAGCCTCGGACTTGAAGTTTTGAGAAAATTGACCTAGAGCTGAAATCATTGAAGGAAAATATAGAAAAGCTGGTGGCGTCATCATCTAAGATCCATTTTGCACATATAATAAGCCAAGAAAAGCTATTTGTAAATCACCAAAAATCTATTTATAACCAGCAAAATAAAACAAATTAATTGACGCCATCATCATACACCAAAGAGCATCAACCATGTGAGAATAACTACGATGATAAATGTATTACATACATATGTGTGTGTATATACATATATAGTGCGAGAGAACAAGAAGACAGATATCGCTATAGCCTATAAACACAAGCAGCACATCTAAACATCTCCAAGATGCTCTGGAACACCCAAACTTCAATATTCCAAACCTGAATAATGTAAGGATCTTAATAAATAATACCTTCTTTTAGATCTGACAGGAGACGGTGATAAGTCACGCTTTCTTGAATGCAGCTTCCTGCATTATTACACAAATGATGAGACACTATATATGACAACCAGACAAGAAGGTTCAAATGGAATATGTTCTAAAACCTTTTTGAGCCATCTGAGCCTTCACTGGAATCACCAGCATGATTAAAATGATCCTTGTTGGTTCTACCTCTACTGCTTACTGAAGATGAGCGTCTTCTTCTGTGCCTGTCGGGATTACTAGCCTCTTTTTGCCTTGATTTGTGTTCCCCCTTATCCTTTGCATGCTCCCTTTTCCGGCTAGTATCATCAGTGGCACTGCCTCTATGGGATTTTTCTGCTTCCTTTTTATTATCCTTGACATCAACATGAGAGGACCTTTTCCTAGACTCTGATTCTTTTGCCTTCTCCCCATGCCTTAAATTGTGCTCTTTCACTCTTTCTTTTGCTTCACTGCCATAATCTGTTTTTTCCCTTTTCTGATTTCTTTCATCCTTTCTTCTATGATTCTCATTACCTTTTTCATCTGTCTTTGTCTTACTACTGTGTACCTCCTTTACAAAGTCTTTCTCAGAACTTCTGTCAAGCCGATCAACTTTTTCTGATTTTCTTCTACTTTCCCTGCTTGGATGATCATCTGTTGCCTTTTCCACACTAACATTCTTACCATGTAGTTCAGAGCTAGGTGTTCCTGAAGTATCTTTAGAACTAAAACCATTAACTCTATCCTGGCTTCTTTCAAAAGCATTAAGCCCATTATCCCTAAGATCTTCAGACAACGCCTTGGAAGAATGTGAATGATTGGATTCTCTGGTGACCTTATAATCATGCAATTGATCAGAACCAGCATCATTGCTACTTCTGGGTGGTAAAGAGATGGTTTTGACCTGATTATTCACCAAATTAGTGTCCCTTCTACCATGCTCATCAAGTTGTGAAATGCCATTAACAGATACATCATGTGTATCTGACAAAGGTTTCTTAATCCCTGACTGATAGGCAGCATCTTTTGCAGAAATTGGCACACTGGAACTCTCAATTTCGTTGTCTCCATCATCAGCGTCAGAACCGTAATTTCCAAGACCTAAAACATCTCCAGGAGAGCTGGAACTAGATTTTTCACTGGCACCATCATTTTCTACCTTCTCTTTGATTGGAACTAAAACCTTTGCAGATGCCTTAGGCACTGTAGCTGAGAGTGGAGATGCTGATGCCTTATGGTTTGAGGTGGCAACCTTGTGACCCACTGCAGAAGACTCGTTGTTAGAACCTACAATATATAATAATACTCGATCAGTAGAAAAAAATCATCTATATGAAGATTTAAGAGAAAATTAATTACCTTCAGCAGTAAGATCATCTTCAGCAAGAACTTTGGTAGCAATTTCATCAAACAATTCATCAGTAACCTAAGAAGAAGCAGTAATCAGAACTTTGATATTTTATTTTTCTGCTGCAGCCAGTAGACATGAAACTAAGATAACAATTCACGTTTTAACCAGCCGCTTACCTTCAAAAGAACTTCAGTCAGAACTCTTTTTATTTCTTGGTTGATTGCTACAGTTCTAGCTGCTTCAACTTGATCCTACATATGAAATACAGCATACTAAATTCAAAATAATAATGGGCATTTAATCTATTAAATGGACACAAACTTTAATATTAAAATGAAACCTCATCATCATCTTCATCCTCAGCTGATCTAGATGAATCAATGCTTTTACTATCCGCCTCATCACCTCGCACATACGACTTGTCAATGCCATCATTTCTAAATGTTGCTTCCTCTTTCTGATTCTCTGCAGGAGCAGTAATGACTGTTTTCTTTATTTCCTCTCTAAGCCAGTTAGGGACTGAAGCCTGAAAAAAACTGCAAAATGAGGCTTGATAATGACATATATATATCCAAGCATTAACCTTTGCAACACACTTACCTTTTTAGGACGATCAGGAACACCAGATACCCCATATGCATCAGCAGAGAAAGTCGTGGTAGGATGAATTGTAGTTCCTGAGCTAAGGGTAAAGGGTGCACCACTTGGTGGAATGGTTGAAGAGAGGCCAGGTCCAGGAAACCTTCCAAATGGCGGGGCCACATGACCAGGAGTGGTGATAGAAGGGTCATGCTGCTAAATTAACTAGGTGTCAAGAGCATTAAAAGATGCTTATAAGTTGACTAGGAAAACAAAAGGTTTCAAAATTAAAACCTGTTGCCCAGAGGCAAGAATTGGAGGTATTGGTGGATAACCAACACCATGTGTCACCGGAGCAGCCCAGTTATTCATTGATGTACTGGAATCATGATGATTATAAGTTGATGGCATTGGCAAGTCACTATCACGATTAAACCTAGGTGCAAAATCTAATGGTTGATCAGCAAGACTGATAGCAGAGTCAACTGAGTGGCTGCCGGATGCAAAAGGTGGTGTATGCATTGATGGTTGCACATGGCGTTCTTGAGATGTGGAACTTGACAAAGGAAAGACTGAATATGATTGTTGAATATGATCGGCAGCCTCTTTACCTGTTGAGTCAATATTCAGATTGAACATGGGAAAATAAATGAGGGAAGATACAAAGCATTAAAATTCAAAACTGTAGTCCCCCAAGACATAGATTCATATGTTTATCAAAGCTGCAAAAAACTGAGTATTTTTAAACAGCCCTTTCCCACTGTCTGATGTTTCCATGTTCCAACCACTAGCTGTTCTCCAATCCAACTCATCTTTACATAGGCAACATTTAAGTATTGTTAACACATGCCAACTAGTCACAAACAGTGCAAATAAACCAGCATACATGATGAGAAAATGAGCTTATTGTTCCTTGGCCAGGGACTGAGCAAACGTGTGAAGATGTGGTAATTCTTACAGGTAAGGCAGTGAGGTGCCATAAAAGATATAAGGTCCAACAACCCCTATATCCTATTGCGATAAATAATGCCCAGAATATGAAAAGAAGGCTGACCAAAACACTAGGCAGGAACCACTCATAAATAACTTTATCAATTAGCTATGTAATGCTTTACATTAAGGTGATCAAAGGATATTGTTCAATCATCACAAATGGGTACTGCCTCAAGAGTTTTGATTCGATTATAAATATACCTTATTATTAAGCACTTGGATGGTGGCATTCAACATGCAACCATTCCCCAATTTGGGCCACCTAGTACTCGGCTCAAGTGGCTTCACATGGAAAGTGGAAATAATGTAATTTGCTTGACAAGATAAGAATCAAGCAATTTAACATATGGTTCCCTTCCCTATATTTCTAAACAAGAAAATAGACTTTTTATTAAAACAATTTCACATCTATTATTTTGAATTACAAAGGTGAGCCTTTCTTAGGACTTACTTGAATAAACTTCTCCAAAATCACTTATCGGAGAAGAAAATACAAAAAAAAATATATGAAATAAGTTAAAATTAGCTTATACATAAGTTAAAAAGCATATTTTGGGAATATGAGAGAGTTTCTACAAATTAGCTTATGTAATAAGTTAAAATTAGATTTTACAGAAGTTTATTTCATTTTTTTATCCATATTTCCTTCTCTTAGAAGTGCTTTTGAAAATTTATCCAAACAAACCCTTAGTCTTAATTCCCAATGCTTGCCCACTGAATAACCTTGAAGATTAGGCTGCCATAATAAAAGAGAGGAGAATAATAGAATAGTATTCTAGGAGGAAATTTATTAATGCTGGTGCTGAAAAGGCAACTCTTGTCCAGATATTGAAAATTTGAAACCTTCGAGCCAAAGTGAGAGCATTGTTGAGTTCATGGCTTTATTTTGGCATTATGTTTCCCCAGTTGTTGAGTTATTTTTTTAAATGGAAATAACTTCCTAGGAAAACTAATGGGCAGGTATGTAGTTCTTTTTGTTTTCTCTTTTAGACTCCAAGTTTTGTGAGTTTTCCAGGAGTGATTTTAGTTTTCTGGGTTTTCCTTAAGCTTTGTGTGTTTGGTGGATACCTCATCCTCTCCCCTCCCTATCTAATAATATTTCTTTTTCTATCCAAAAATAATCTATAAAATCATACCTATTGTTCATTAAACAAGAATCGTGATAGGCTGATAGAATATCTTGTCTAAAAAGACAGCATGGACAACATAAAGGGGTTGTTATCACACTGTAAATCAAATCACAAATCAGAGAGACCTATTTTGTCAACCGTACAAATATATTTGTAAAAATAAAAAATATATATATTTGTCTTGTATGTACATTAATTATTGAGGGTTTTGCATAACTTCTCTTTCAAGTTTCAAAATTAATTACTAGATCATTTTAACAGAAACTATATATTTTCCCAGCAATCCTTTTGGTTTCTCTCTCCTATGCAACTGTCCCTCTCTGACCTACTAATCTGAGGATGGTTCACCCACCTCCAAACAACCTCACCACCCTCGCCAGACCATCCTACCACCAGAGGCTCACCATACCCAGAGCATCAAGATAATTCCAAGTTCCTAGAAATGGTCTGTTATGTCTATTCATTTGGGTAGCGTTCGACAGTGAGTATTTTTCAGAAGTCTTCTTCACAGACATTTCTGCCCACACCCACCCAACACTGACTTAGTTTTTCATCCCAGATTAGCAGTTTGGCTAAATGACCTTCCTATATCATCGATATAGTTAGAAACACAACAGAAATGAGTCAAATCATGATTAAATGAAACTACGTAATCTGCATCAATAGAGTGAGGACTTGCCTCAAATCACATGAGTCAAATCATGATTCATGTGATTCCAACTAGCAAGATCTCTCAGAACCAAATTGACAGTATCACAAAATACAGTATAGGCAAATTCCAGAATATTGATTTATGATCCATTTCCATAGAAGCTTCACTTGCAATTTCAACATACTAAATAAACAATTACCTGCAACAGAACTATAACTAGAAGGTACCTCCTGCTGATGAACTGACGGATTTGTTGGCAAGTTTCCTTGTTCAAATGAAATGGTCGAATCTCCAATGCTGGTCCCATCTCTAGCACTGTATGAAAGTCCATCTGAAGTATAAGGTGTCTCCAAACTGACAGGTGCAGCCTCCTGGGAATGTCCTGAAAGCCGCTGCGCAGATGCATCCAAATAGGAAAATTGTTGATAGCTTGATGATGGATGGGATTGGTTTTGAATATCAGCATAATGTGAGTCAACATGTTGTTGATACTGATCATGATAATGGCTTTGCTCTTGCAATCTTCCAGCAGGTGAAAAATGTGATTGTGGATGCTGACTTTCCATTGCAGCCTTAGCATCAGCCCAAGCTCTGGCCTTAGCAGCCCAATCTTCCTCATTATTGTGGGCTATCATTACAACATAATGTCAAAAAAAATACAACATCCACTAAACTAAGAATGGTTATAGAAATTGAAAAGGGGGGAGAGCAATTTTCCAAGAGGCAATATATAAAATCATGCAGAGACACACACGAGTCGACACAAAAATATACAATACACCATAATCATTGAAATGACAAACCAACCAATCAGCATTCATACTTGTTGCAAATTACAGTTGAAAAGCTGCGTAACTCCTCACACACATGCAAGTATATATCTTGGTCAATATTCAGTGTCAAAGTCACAGGACTCACAAATCCCAATAATTTCAACAACAACAAAAAAACAAAAACCAATTTATTTGACACAGATAACATGGTCATACCCATCAAACACAACCTAAAAAAAAACAATGCACGCCTCTTTTTTTCCATTTTTCTTTTTTCTTTTTCTGTGAAAATGCTTCTCTCTCAAGTGGACAACTTTCAACTCTTCCAAAACCTAATAATAAACAGCAAAAACCCTAACTGTAGAACGAATAAGAAAACAACGTTTTCTGATTCTGACGTAAGCATATAAAAATTAAAAAAAAAAAACTAACCTGGATAGCCCTGGTTAGGTGGCCAGTTAGGGTTGCTCCATTCCTACAAAAATTCCATGCAATTAGTGAACCAATACCCAATAGAAGAAGAAACCCTAGCAAAGGGCAAGAAGGATATTTCACCTGAGGATAAGGCTGAGGAATGTGGGAGTGAGGTGTGAACTGAGGAGGTGGCACGTGAGAACGCGGAGGAGGAGGAGGAGGAGGAGGAAACTGGTTGAGATGGTAAGAATAAGCGTTCGCCGGAGGAGGAGGCTGAGGCGGCGGTTGCGGCCACTGCGGCGGAGGGGAAGGGGTCTGGGAAGGGTGGTATTGGAATTGGGAGGAGAACCAGGGGGCCTGGGGCGGCGGTGGCGGTATCTGGTGAAAGTGGTGCGGATGGTGGTGGGGATCCGCCGTGTGCGGCGGTGGTGGTGGCGGTTGCGGCGGCCTCATGTAGCCGTGTGGTTGCTGGAACGAATCCATGGAATTGGAGGAAACGGAGGGTGTGGGATTTGGATTTCGATGCGTTTCGTTTTGATGGGAAGCAGCGATTGCGAAATGAAGGGTAAATGTTAGGAGGAACAAGGGTTCAGGCAGACACCGTATGGACCCCCGCTTGGGAACCAAACTCTTTTTCCCACTCACTCTAGTATCTTCTTGTTGTAGGAGAAAAAAATATAACACATAAAAAATATTTAGTAAATGAGAAAATAAATAAATAACTTTTCGTTTAAAAACTAGGCCCGGAATGATTGCCACCTCTATTCATTATATTATATATCGGTGTATCTATAAATTATTTTAAAAAATAATAAATAAATAAAAATTATATAATAATAAGTTATTATTATAGATAATTATAGATTAAAATTTATTAAAAATTGTAATTTATAAAAAGTAGTTATAAGAATAAATTATTCAAAAATGTGAACATCAAGTAAGATAATCTCTTTTTATTGATAGTATACATTATTATTATAACTTATTTTTATAAAATATTTTATAATTTTTAGAAAATATTAAAATATTTTTTTTGTTTGTTTCTATTAAATATTTTGAAAATATATATTTTTTTCTTTTAATTCTTAAATTTTTCCAATTAGTACTTTTTTTTAATATTAGTATATAAGCTTTGATATGAGATAATATTTTTACCTCTATCATAAAAATTTAATGATAAATAAAAAAGGTATAATTGCTAAATCATTATTTTATCTTATTAATTTAAAGTATTTATATCAGTCTATGATCCAATTTTAAGTGCCTTATAATAAAATTAAAGAAAGAACTTGATTAAAAATTATATTATTTTATAATTTATTTTATGTTTTTATAGCATAATTTATTTTAAGTTAAAGTATATTTTGTTATGAAAAGAAAGATAATAATAAAGAGAAAGAATAAGACAATATGATAGAGAGAAAAAGAATTTTACTTATATCTTATTTTTTGGAAGGGATTGACTTATTTATAAGTATATGTAGGTTGAATAATTACATAAGAATGAAATAATACATAACAGATATACAAATGGTAATAATGTATATTGAATATGGGCAACCACTAATTATTATATGTAAACTCCCCATTAGATGTCCATTATTTTAGAATGTGTCTCATTAAAATCTTACTGAGAAAAATCCTATGGAATAAAAACCTAGTGAAGGAAAAAGAGTACATCATTTTTTAATATTTATTTCTCTCTCCCGCATATAATCATCTTTAAGACAGTGAAGTCCAATTTTATGTATCAACTACTTAAAAACTTTTCTTGGTAATGACTTTGTAAAGAGATCTGCTAAGTTGTCACATGAGAGAACTTGTTGGACATTTATATCACTATTCTTTTAAAGATCATGAGTAAAAAAGAATTTTGGTAGAATATGTTTTATTTTATCTCCCTTTATGTATCTATCTTTCAATTGTGTAATACATACAACATTATCTTCATATACAATTATCAATGTCACTTTTTCAAAAATCCCACAAGTTTGTCATACATGTTGAATCACATATCTTAGCCAAACATATTCACGACTTACTTCATGTAATGCTAAAATTTTTACATGATTAGATGAAGTGACTGTCATGGTTTGTTTTATAGATTGCCATAAATTAGTTGTATCACCTCTTGTAAACAAATATCTTGTTTGTGATCTATCTTTATGAGAATTTAACAAATAACTTGCATCAATATGCATCAGCATTTAGTCCTAGTTTAGGAATATTTGGATAGAATAACCCTATATACATTGTACCTCTAAGATAATAAAGGATTTGTTTAACTTCATTCCAATATCTTCGTGCAGGTGAAGAAATATATCTTGCTAACAAATTAACAACAAATACTATATCAAATTGTATATAATTAGCGAGATACATTAATGTTCCTATAACACTATGATATGGTACTTTAGGACCAAGTATTTATTCATCCTTTTCTTAAGGTATAAATGGATCTTTGTTAACATTTAAAGGTCTTACAACCATTGGAGTGCCTAATGGATGTGACTTGTCCATATAAAACTTTTTAAACACTTTTGTTATATAAGTTTCTTGATGCACAAGAATATTCTATTTTAAAATTCAATTTTGCAATTCCAAGCAAAACTTTATCCTTCCTAGATCTTTCATTTCAAATTCTTTATTCAGGCAATCAATGACTTTTGAAAACTCTTTAGGAGTTCCAATAATGTTTATGTCGTCTACATAAACAATTATGATAAATCCATTTTCAAATATTTTTATAAAAATATACGAACAAATTGGATCATTTTTTTTATTAATTATTCACTTAGAATATTATACCACATATATCATGATTGTTTTAGTCCATATAGAGATTTATTCAACTTGATCAAGTAACCTTCTCTTGAAATTGTACTGCTAGGCAAATTAAATCCTTTAAAGAGTTTCATATAAATGGTAATGTCAAGAGAGTCATACAAATATGTTGCACCTACATCCATTGGATATCAATTAAGTTCTTCATGTGCAACCAAACTAATTAAGTATCAAAAAGTATTTGCATTCACAATAGGTGAATATGTCTCTTCAAAATCACTATTGGATCTTTGTGAAAATCCTTGAACAACTAGTCTTGCTTTGTATCTCATAATTTCACCATTTTTATTTCATTTTTGCACAAAAATCCATTTATATCCAACTAGTTTTACACCTTTAGGTGTACGTACTACTAGTTTGAAAACTTTCACCAAGCAAGCGAGTATAATTCTGCCTCAATTGTATCTTTCTATTTTGTTCAATCATTTATTTGTTAACAATCATTTATGAACTTTGGTTCTTGATCCTCAATATCATTTATTACATCTAGCACTATATTATATGCAAATGCACCATTAACATTGACATTGTTTCGATTTCATTGTATTTCATTCATGACATAATTTATTGAGATCTTTTCATTTTCAATAATTTCAGGTATCTGAATTTCTTTTGGAACTGGAATATTAGTTATGTTAAAGGAATCTTTTTAAGTTTTCACATCCTCAATTTGGTCATGTTGCTATTTAGCTCCTTTTTTTATTCGATGATTTTTATCTTTAAAATTAATTGGTCTACAACACTTCTTATATATTTGAGACTCATTTGCAATATTAAATTTCCCAATTGAGACTTCACTCTTGTTGGAGCATGATACATATGGCTTAGTCACCCTTTTTAGATCTATGAATACATTTGGTTATAAGTTGGCTAAATTTTGCAAATGAATTATCTTTTGAACTTCTAGTTTACATTGTTTTGTATGAGATCAAGATGAGATAACAATAATATGTTCCGATTAATATCTTTTTTCAACCACTTATTTTCTCCCTTAATGTTGGAAAAATCAACTCATTAAAATGGCAATCGACAAACTAAACTGTAAATAAATCTTCAGTTGATGGTTTAAGATATTTTATTATAAATAGAGATTTGTACCCAACATATGTTCCCAACCTTCTTTGAGGATCCATTTTAGTTCTTTGAGGTGAAGCAATTAAACATACATAACACACCTAAAGATTCTTAAATAAGAAATATTAGATTGCTTGGCAAAACTCAACTATAAAGGGGAGAATTTGTGATAACTTGTTGGCCTAATGGGAATTAATATTGCAACATGCAATATTGCATGCCCCAAGTTGACATTGAAGTTTTGATCTCATGAATCATGGTATTGCAATCAATTTTAAATGTTTAATGAATAATTCTACAAGTCTAATTTGTGTATGAACATGTGTTATTGGATGCTTAATATCAATTTTAATACACATACATATAAAAGCATGAAATGTGAATTCATCAATATTATAAAGACAAATTTTCTCAATTGGATAGTCAAGAAAATGAGTTCTTAATCTAATTAGTTGAGCTAATAATCTCACAAACACTTGGTTACAAGTTGATAATAAACAAACATGTGACCATCTTATTGAAGCGTCAATTAAAATCATAAAATATCTAAATGATCCACATGAGGTGTATTAGTTTGTAGATATCACCTTGTATCTATTATAAAAATAAGATAGACTTGTTCCTAATTTTTGCTAGTAATGGTTTAATTATTAACTTCCCTATATATATATTGATTTAATTAAAATAGATGGTTTCTTTGAATCTTAGACTTTTCATAACACTTGTGCACTATATATTTTCAAGACTACAGTGGGTAGTGTATACACAAAATAATATAGTAACTCTTAAAGGATAAGGTTCATCTATTATATCACTATCTAACCAACTAATGTCAATCATCCTCAATGGTCTTATGGCTATTACTTTCACTATTTTGCCAACAACTCACATTAATCTACTCTATAAAATATAGTCTCCTTCCTTGTGAAAAAAATGTAAGAAGTAGGAAATGGGATTGTATAAAAATAAAATACGTATTTTTTCCTTTCTTCAAAATAGTTGAGGCAAAAATATTAGTAGTAGTGACTTAAAATAAATTATATGTGTTATGTAATTAATAATCTCATTTTCCTTTAACTCAATGCACTTTAGTATTATAAGGTGTTTTATTTAATTAGTTTCATATTTTAACTAGAATATTAATTTTTAAAATAAATAAATACATAGATATATTTCATTAATTAAAATAGGATGTTACATTTAGATGGGATTAGAGCAACATTCCATGTGTGACTTAGGAAATGAGCTAACCACATTTCTAATATAACAAAACTCTAACTTGTATAATTTCATATGATAAATGGTAGAAAAAATACTTAATTGACAGAAGTTGTGCAAGTTATTGGGCACATAGTTGCAACTCTATCAAGACAAGGAAAAGAACTGATGGACCTGTTGAAACACAAGGATTAATTAAGATTAGAAGAAATAAAACTTCACAATTTGATGGAAGGATACAATCTAGACAAAGTTGAATTACAAATTAAAGAAATGGAAAAGACATTCTGAACTATTAATTGTCCTAATAAGCAAAAAGTATATTATGTTGTCTTTATATTAATAGGTGAAGCTGAATATTGGTGGGATATCACTAGAAGACTATCAGAATAAGGAAGGATATTCATCACATAGGAAGTATTTAAAATTCAATATTTAGAAAAATATTTTCCTAATGATGTAAGAAGAGCTAAAGAAATAGAATTTATGTAGTTAAAACAAGGAAATAAGACAGTATGAGAATATGCTTCTAAG